CTTAGTGTGAGGCTCTGGGTTCAATACCTGGCACCATAAAACAAAACAAGCAAGAAGCATGCATTTTACTTTGTGAAACATTCATTCATTTTTAAAAAATCACCTGAACACAAACTAACTTTGTGCCAGGCATAAGGTTGAGGTCTGGTGCTACAGTAATGAACATGACAGAGACAGTCCTTAAATCCTCTCCTATAGAGCGCATGCTGTGTAGTGATTAGCACAGAGACCAGTCTAGAAGCATTCTACAAACATCACAGTACTCACTGCTACATGGCAGGTGGAGTGTTTTAATTATGTGCTGACTTATGTTGCCTCTTAAATATTGGTTTATCTTGCTTCTGCCCTCCCAATTAGGTTTCTTATGGGCTACTGGCTGGTCCTTACAAGGAGGCTGCTAACTTGTTAGATGAACGATTCAGAACCAAATGACCAAGGCCATTTCAAACCCCCATTCTGCCACTGGCAAACGCTATAGCTACAGCAGAGACAGGAGCTATCCCCAAATTCTTTCCTTTCCTTAGTATAAAAGAACCCAAAGTTTTTGGTAGGGCTCACAGACACAGGATAAGTATAGGACTTTACCACCCTACAACTAACTATAGCCACATGACAAATTCTAGACAATGGCTAGAAGTGATGAGTGTTAACTTCCAGGAAGCAATGTTTACCTAAGAGAACCTGCCTTTCACTCTCCCTTTTCATCCTTCCTGATGTCTGGGGCTAGAATGACACACATGTGAAACAACACAGAAGCAGCCTAGATTCTTAACGCTGTAGAGCACCGCATCACCCTGGTCAGTAATCTAGCTTAGTTACTTATCTCTTTGGACTTCAATATCTCTGTCTACAAAAAGATGATAACCTAAGGTAACTACATTGCTATGTTGTTTTTGAGACTGAATGACAGAACTTGGTTCACAGTAAGGGCAAAAATTAAGACAGCTGGTATTACTGCTGTTATAAAAGTAACAACAATCCTGATGCAGTGGAAAATCTATCAAGAATAGAGCATCTTAACACAGCCTTGGGTGCCCAGAGCAACTCAAATGATTCTCACAGTTAAAGATGCTACGTCCCCCAAAGGCCCACATACTGTCCTCAGGCTTGGTTACCAGGGTGGCAGTACTGAGAGATGATGGAAGCTTTCAGAGGCAGAGCCTAGTGGATCCCTTTAGATGACTGGAAATGCCCTTGAAGAGCATAATGCTACCTGGCCCTCTATCTTTATTTCCTGGTGATGAGATGAGCAGTTTCCCTTCATCATGACCTCCTGCTTTGATATGCTGCCTCATCGTAGGCCCAAAAGCAGCAGAGCCAATCTGATCAGGGGACCAGAGACAAAAGAAATCTCTTCAGAAGTTAATTGCAGTGAATCACACGGTGATGAGAAGAGGACTAACACAGAAAGCGTCCTGCAATCTAGTCCTCCTGAGAAGAATTCTCTTCTCCAGCACTTTTAGTAGTCTGCAAAGGACACTACCTCTAAGATAGTCTTACACTAGTGGTGTTTATTCATCCATATATCATAATCTCCATTACTTTGTTCCGGAACCCTGCCCTGAATGCCCCAAATCACTTCACTTCTCTCCTCTACTGCCTCCTTTGTTTCTGCCTTTGATCACCACAGTCCCACCTCTGAGCTCGTGCCCATCAGTACATCAAAGTTTCTTTCAACCTCTTCTGGAAGCACCCCTTGGCCTCTTGCCTAACTAAATGGGAAGTAAGTGTTCACTTACTCAGTACCATCCTGTTCAAATGAGAGGCTTCCCAAACTCTGAAACTAAACTCGTCTCCCACTGGAGGACAATGCAAATGATCATTAACATCCTCAGCTCCCTCATGTTGACCCAGGATGCCCCATCTCCTACATTTTACACTGCTAACACTTTCAAAGCTATTTCATCTTGCTGCAACATCATCATTGGTCTGGGAGGTGTAACCTTTCATGGCACACGAAATCAAAATGTGCTTTCTGTGTCTAATGCTTACATTCACCTTTACTGATATTCTTCTCCTGTGCACGCAGACACAAATCCTGTTCTCTTCTCCCACACTGTTGTCATGCTCCATGTCACTGTCACAGACACAGGACGTCCCTCAGCATAGACACAGCTCCAGGCACTCCCTTCCTCATTCCTTCTTCTTCACAATCACACCAGCCCTTCCTGCCTCTCTCTCTTCCACCCTTCTGGCTCCATCTATTCTCAGGAGTGAGACTTTATTGTCTTCCTGGCTCACTCAAGCCTGGGCTTAAGGAGAGTTAGAAAGGGAACAAGGGCTGTGGTATCAGCCAATGGCTCCAAGGTGGATAGGGCATCGAGGACTGCAACAGATGAAAACAAGACACGACTGTCAAGTGGGCAAGGAGAAAACCATGAACTTCAGTAGTAGCTTCAGTAGGACAAAGCCACACAGGATCAGTATCCTAACAGGCAGTAAGAGTCCTCGACATTGGCAAAGGAAAGGAGCAGAAAAGCATAGGTCTAATGATGTCCAGGGAGTCAAAAGCAATCTTAGAGATTTATTCCATGTACCCCTTTACATATAGTACCAGGATTTTCTAACTCAAATTGCCAGTTCTGGAGCTTATACCTGAATCAATCTCACTTTACAAAGCACTTACCTTTACTCAACATTTTACAGACAAAAATATTTTTCTAGATGTGTGATCCACATGGGTTCAAAGCCTGAGATTCTTTGTTGGCTTATATTCACACTACACATTAATTCAAATTACTTATGAATCCACAGTACACAGCAAGAATGCTGACATATGAAATCAGCCCACACCAGACTCTAAGCAGGAAAAAAAGACCTCAAGATGGGCTCATTCCTTCTCCAAACACACCTTCTTCTCCAGGTTTAAAGGCAGTAGCAATTTCATCTCCACAATGGTGGAGAAAAGAGGAGGTTCCACGAGAGAAACTCAAAAGCAGGCAAAAATCAGCATGCCTATTAAGTTCCAAATGTCCCTACCTGTATCTATGTCTAGCCATCTCTATTTACAACACCTTGATGCTCCCCTCCACACACACACAGCACCCCTTTGCACATGGAGTTGAGGAGGAAGAGGCCAGCACCTGCCCAGACCCAGAGCCCAGGTTCCACAACACAGAGCAGCACAGAGAGTGAACAGCAGGGAGACCAGCAGGCAGCCTTAACATTTCTTGAGCAGCCAAAAGAAACAAAAGGCACAAATGTCACATTCCCGTTTTCCCATTGGAGGCTTCTTCCCCAGCCCTGAGCCCCTCCCTTCCACTCAGCCCTCTTTCCCACCTCTGATGCACGCCACACCTACGCCCCTCAGAGGGCTTTCCTTGTTGGGAGTCCTTTTGAATCCACAGGAATCCCTAATTGGTGATTCAAATCCACATACTAAGTGAATAATCAAATATAGCATGAGAAATACAAATTCATTATCAAGAGATGCAAAAAGAGGGCTACCTGCCTTCTTGCCTCTGCCCAAGAACACCAGAGACCCTATATCCTAACCCTCAGCTGTCATATATACATGTGTGTGTGTTGGTGCATGAACACAAGCTTGTGGGTGCATGCACCCACAAGCCCATGTTGGGCAATAAAGGACTGCCACCAATGAACTCACACTGATTTTGTGACTCAGGCACCAATGGAATAACCTGGGAGAGGTCAAAGATTCAGAGAATCTTATTTCATTTGTTTGGGGGGGTCACTGTCTGAACAGCAGGATTTTTTAAAGTTCCCTCCATGATTGCAATGTGTACCCTAGTTTGAGAATCACTGACTGAACGCATGGTGAGTTTCAAACATTTTTCACGGCAGTAAGATATTTGGAACACATTATATCCTTTAGTTGACACAAGAGCCCTTGGATTTTTTATGAGAGCTCAGTTATCAATCATGGCAAGTCTAAGTTTGTTGTGAACTCAGGTTCTCTAACTCCAAAGTCCTTTCTTGGGCCACATACCTGTTAACAGTGGTACCTGTGTAGACAATGTGGGGAAGCTATCCTCACTGCCAACAGATCGTGAATAATTTCTGTAAGTGCGAGACACCTAGATTTGAAGCCATGACCACCCCTCTGAATATAAAGGTATAATTAATAAGGAGGCAGCAAGGGTTTTGTCCATGGTTGAGGTTTGAGAAGATGAGGAGAGACAATGTACCAGGTCCTACCTATAGAGTTGATTCGAGACCCAAGATAAGTTGTAAGATACCAACTTAAGGTGTGCTCAGTGGCATACAAAGAATGGACAAGTGTCGGGGTGATGGACTCTTCCCTGGAAAGACAATCTTAAGACAGAAGTCAATGGATCACTTCTCAGGGTTACAGGTTCTTTCTCCTGCTCACTCTACGCATTGGGAGTTTCTCTAAGGGGACAGAAATTATTCCTAGTACATGCTTATTAGGCAGCTTCAATTTCTGTCTCTTCCCAAGATGACAAGTGGAGCTTCCAATGGAGAACAGACACAGGAATAGTATCCTCAAATGCTTTAGCCCACAGACCACTTAGGGAGGACAAAGCATCCCTTAACACCATCCCCACTTTTATCCAAAAAAAAAAAGGAAGAGGCACCATCATTATCACTAAAGCAACTTATCTGACAGAGTGAGAATTACTTTACCACTTCCAATTAGGGATGAATGCAGACCAACACAAAAGTGCAAACACTGGAGCATCCTTTTTTGCCACCACTCAAGACACTAGTCCAAAATCCACAGTAAGTCCTTATACCATGGAGCTGAGGTGAGTGACCTCACCTCAAAGCCCAGTGCAGCAAATAGTCCCCGCTAAAAACAATATTCCACCATTCCAACAGATCAGAAATGGGCCTCTTGGTACTCTATTCCAGTCCATGCATACCAAGTGTTCTGGCGTCCCCTAAAGCATTAGTTGATGGGAAAGAACCACAAGGAATTACAGGAACTAAGCAGGTTAAACTTTCACATCGATTGCACTGTTAAGAGTCACTCACCCAGCACAGTCAGACAGCTCAGCACTGGGAAAAAGCACTTCATGTCGGCAGCGTGGTGAGAGGACACAACACAGGGCACTTCCTCTTCTCCAGGCACCTAATCTTTCATTTGTGGCAATCCACTTATAGCTCCAGTTTTGGAAATAGAACTTAACACAGAAAATGAGAACTGGTTAAGGAGAAACAATCAGGAGGAGGAAGCTGGGGGGAAGGCAGGAGTGTCATACAGGTGAAAAGTCCTCTAGGCTGAAGCAAGGGTCCAGAGCAATTCTGATGGTGCTCCAGGCTCCCGCCACATTGTCTGTCTTTCAGTCTCTGCAGGATCTGTAGATGGTGGTGGATTAATCCTCTAGGAAAAAGCGGGAGAAAAGTCTCAGAAAATCCTTTCATCCACTGATTATACAGAAATGTCCTTGGCTTCCCAGTGAAGGTGTCTGTGATCTCCCTCATTCGGTTTCCCCAAAGGAAACAGGGCGGGTTTTGTCAAAATCTCGGACTGCCAAATTACCCTGGCTGGTGTCGACAGTTTGAATTTCTTCATCAAAAAGTCCGTCTCCATCCATGGTATAGATCACAACGCTGTCCCCGGCCCCACACCTGCCCAGGACACATGAAGCAAGTGGGCATTCGGTGGCCCCGAAGCGGTCCCACAATGCTACCAGATCTCTAAAACAAACACAAGAGAAATTAATCAAAGGCAAACACAACCGGCACAAAAACCTAGAAGGTTGAGCACTGGGTTGGTCCTGGCACCTGGGTCGCCTCTGATCTTGCACAACCTTTGCATTCTGACCTTGGGCTGGTCGTTCTCTCTCCCTCCGCCTCAGTTTCCCGGTCCACTGTAGGGCAACTGGAGGAAGCCCAATTGTCCCTGAAATACTTTCACCAAAAGCTTCACTCCTGGGGTTTCCCGTCGCCTCCCACGGAGCCCGGTCGGGGCAGCCCCACCCTCCGCCGGGGCAAATCGGGCAGGGGCTCCGAGGTGGGGCCGCGCCCCCCGGGTTCTACCCCGGCTCGCGCACCAGCCGTGGGAGCGCAGAGCGCGCCGCGTCCCAGGTGGCCCCGCTATTGTTTTACCTTCCCGGGTGTTTATTTTTCGCTGATTGGAAAGAAAAGACCCGGGAAGAAGGCAGCCGGGGGCTCCGTCTCCGCTGCCGGAGCGCGCTCGCCGCGCACCCGACCGGCCAGGCGAGGGGTCCGGGGCCCGGCCGAGCAGCGCGCGCCGCCCCCTCCCGCCGGCCCGGGCCGGGCGCCACCCCCGCCGCCCCCTCGTGCGCGCGCCCGTCCGCCCGCCCGCCCAGCGCAGGAGGCTGACCTCGCCCCGGCCCGGTCCCTCCGCGCTCCTCCGCGGGCCGCTCAGTCAGTCGGTCGGTGCCGGCGCGCGCCTCGGGGGACGCGCTGCTTCCCCTCTCGTCGCTGCTACAGCCCCGGCAGCCGCGCTCCGGCCCCTCCCGAGTCCCCGCCCCCCAGCTCCAGCCCGGCCCGCGGCACCGGGCGAGGCGAGGCCAGCTGGGGCGAGGGCGGCGGCCTGGGAGGAGGCCCCGCCCCTGCCCGGGTAGCCCCGCCCCTTCCCTCCCCCCCTCCTCCCGGAGACCCGCGGGCGGCCGGACCTGGGGGTCGCGCCCAGGCCTGGCTACACGAGGCCCCGGGCAGGGCGGCTGCCGGCTGAGTGCTGGAAAGTTAACCACGGCCCCCGCCCCACCCCGGGCTCCCGGCCGGCGGGAGAGATGCACGGGCCCTTCCCGATGCCCCGGGGAGGACCCAGGTCGTAAAGAGGGCAGCAAGAGAGCGCATCCTCTCCTGGAGGGACCAAAAACTGCCCTTCCCTGAAAAAGACCCCGTATTGTGTGTACTCTAGAATAGAATCTCGGCTCTGGAAACAGTCTGGGGTCTGGTCCCAGCCTTCCACTTCCTACAGTGCCTTAGTTTACTCACCTGTTATATGGGGAAATAACCCCTGCTTACAGGGTTATAGGAGATGTCTATGTCGTATTTATAAAGCCCTTAGAATAGTGCCAGATACATCATGCCCGCTAGTAAATATAAGCTATTATTATTTTATGACCACAGCAGTCTTACCCAGGCAAGAGCTTTGACATTCATTCAATACTATTTACATACACACCCTGTGGATGATAAGATGGTCATAGGTGACAAGGCGGTGCAGGACAATCCTCATGGAGCTTCCAGGTTAATGGGAACACGAACAATAAAAAAGGTACGACACGAACAAGGCTGTGTTTGGGGATGGCAGGGAGCTGATCTGGTCAGGTCACGTCCCAGGAAGGAAAGGAGAGGTGCAAGCGGCAGGAGGAGGTATCTGAGGACCACGACAGGGCATTGGGTAATCACAGTCCAGAGGGGAGAGGATTAGCCAAGGTAGAGGGTCAGCAATCTGTGTGCGGCCCAAACTAGACGGTAAGAAAGATGTGTCCAGAAATGGACAGAAAAGAAAAGCTGGAAATTAGCTGGTGTGCTGAGGGGTTTGGCCTTTAACCTGGAGCCACGGAAGCCCCTGAGGATTCGGAGCAGGGGAGTATGGTCACCACCTGTGCAGTTTTAGGAGCCCACTCTGCCTTAGGTGTGGAGGGCAGGTGGGAGAGGAGTTTCACAAGAGGCTGCTGAGACTGGAGCAGCATGGGATTGCTAAAAATCCAGAAAATGATGGTGTCGAGACCACAGAGGTAGCAACAGGGTCAGAGAAATACAGAGGTCCTCTTGGTGTCAGCAGATAAGCTCTGCAGAATGTCAGGTAGAGTGTGAGGCATGAGGCAGAAAAAAAATATTACAGCTCAACCACTGAGATCCAGATTGAAAGCAGAAGGCTGGATAGATGTATTGAGTTTGGATACCCAAGAGACGTGGAGAGGATGCTATCCAAAGAAACAAATGGGGAGAGGTCAGAACTCACAGAAAGCTGAGTGTGTAGTGTTTCCACCTTCTTGTCTTCTGCTACAGCAAAAAATTTAGTGACAGACTATGCTAATTCACTTACGTAAAAAAGTAATATCCCCAGTATATCAAACAATGGAATTATCCTATAGGGGATGCAAAGAGAACTTGAAAGTCTCACCTTGTCCTCTCCCCACTCTTTTGGCTATAAATTCCTTGAAGGTGGGGTCTGACCTTTAATTATCATTAATCACAAATAATTCTTGGCATAGGTAATCATACTATAAACACTTTTGTGGAATTGAATGTGTATCACATGTTTAAAGTATTATATTGAAAATCTCCTCTTGCGTGTGAAATATTACCTCTTTTCCCCAAGATGATAGTGACTCTGGTATCTCTCTGTTCTTGTCTGTTATACTCTTCTGTTTGTTGAACATCTACGATTTATGAAGAAGTCTGTGATCTCATCTGTTTAGTGAAAAACTGACAATGAAACATATGTGACATAAAGTGACATATATTCTCAGGAAAAGTGGGGGTATGCGGGAGTGTAGGGATAGGGACTGTGTTCTAGGTGTGTGCTGAGGGAATACTTCTCAGGGAATGACATTGATCAGAGAACCACTGAGAAGGGGAGAAGAAGCCTTAGAGATTTCTGCAGGAAGGGAATCCCAACCTTAGGGAACAGCAAATGCAGAGCCCCTTGATCTGCAAACAAGAGGGATGCTGGTGAATCTGAAAGGGTGTGAAAGAGAAGATGAAGGAGGGATGTGATGAGAGGCCGCATAGGTCAAATCCTATAGGACCTTGCAGAGTGAAGGGCAGTCTGGACCACTCCGACTGCTGGGGAAGGAGTGTCAGGAATGGGGATGGGTGCAGGGTGCTGAGAGGTGGCTCTCACAGTCACAGGGGAAGATGGCCATGCTTGGACTAGGGGTGTGGGTGTGCAGGGTGTGAGGAGTGGAAGGATGCTGAAAGCAGTCTGAAATTAGATTCTGTGGGATTCTTCAAAGACTTGAATATGGAGAAAACAGAGTAGTGAAGGAGTCTTCTAACAAGTCTTCACTTCAACCTGTTTGGCAGCTCTCTGTCCATTCCAAGCTGCCCAGCTCCTCCATATCACACCTCTCAGGACTTCTGCCTGGGCCCTGAACCTTGAACATCTGGACTCAGCAGTTCCTTCTAAATGTGTAGTTCTTTTCTTCTCAACCTGCCCTTCCTCCTACCACTTAGAAGCCTTGCACTTTTCTGCATGATCTTCCGCCCCGGGTTTCTGTTAGCACTGCAAATATGTGATGGTTGTTTCTCAGCTTAGCCTTCTTTCTAATTTCCACATTTATGGGAGAGCTACAATATGCAAAGAATTGTACTAACTGTTGGTTAGGGAGAGAAAAGTACAATTTAAAAAATGCCTCTGCCCTCCAGACATAGGAGCAACCAAATGAAGTAAATGTAAACAGTGGTGTGATGGTGGGCCCTTCAGAAGATCCTCAGCTGGCAAAGAATGAAACTGAGAAAAATCCCAAGGGATGGAGAGACATCAGAGGAAGGCACAGAAGTCCCCAGTTAGCAAATCTCTTTGGTTTCTCAGCTGAACATTAGCAGCTTGCTTCAAGACATTTTACATTTGAATTTTGAAGCCACTTCTGGATTGACCTGGCATCACTAGATATTTGAGACATTTTGGAAGACTCCTGAAGCTTCTCTACCACAGAGTTAAACTCAGAAGCCTGTGAAAGTCAAGCTGAGGCATGGCACCAAGGATCTCAGTGCACAGGCTGACGGGCCTGCCCAGCTCCCCCCGGGCACTGCAGCTAGGAAGCAAGGTCTCTGGGGCGTGATTTTCCTGCTTTCCAAGAGAATTAGGAAATCCACCATTTTGAGTTCCTCCAGTTTTGCTCATTGGAAACTAGTGCTTAAATTAAACACTGTGAGAGACCAACACAAAATCTATTTGTAGATAAGATATGCCCAAGTGGTTCTACCAGTTTGAGGTCTCTAAACTCATAGGAGGTTATAATCAAAAGGCTGATCTATAAACTACAAAATAGCCTAAAGTTACACTTTTAAGATAAAAAGAAAAAAAAAAAAAAAAAACACGTGGAAGGCCTAGCCTAGCTATCTTTTGTCACTTGAAAGAAAATTGAGGGGAAAGCATTTTGTCTAAAGATAGGCTGACACTAGCTATGCACTCACAAACAACAGATGTTAATTGTTTCTAATGCACTCTGAAATGCCAAGTGAAAGGAGCAGGACCTCCCTACCTCACAGAACAGCAAGTCAGAGCTAAAAGTGTGCTCTGAACAATTCTCCTGATAGCCACTTTCTTCTTGGTGATTGCCTCCTACACAGGCAAGGATCCCCAGTGCTGAAGACTGGAAATAGCCTACACAGGATGCCATCTGTCTTTAAAGTAAAATGAAAGAAACGGAGGTGACTGTTAATATCTGGACACCAGGGCATGGGTGGTGAGTGGGTAGTCCCCGAGAGCCTTGCCCACAGGTGGGCGCTCAGAACTTGAGATGCGCCATCTAGCGTTAGAGGGGGGCTTGGATTTGCTTTCCCAGAGGGAAAAATAAGTTGCTTTTCATCTTAAGGTCTCCTTCCTCCCCAAAGCCTAGAGGTGTGCTTGCTTCTTTTCTTGGTTGACAGAGAGATCTCTGGATCTGAAGGAGAATGACCAGGTTTGTGTTCCAGATTTGTGTTTATTGACTCCTAACTCTGTTCAATATAACTTCTCCTGTTCAAGCTTCCTTATTTGTAAGAGGGGTTTGCAATAACTCCTGTCCTCAAAGAGGCGTTGTAAGAACATCATGTATAGGAAGGACTAAAAAACATGCCTGGTACTGAATTCTCAGTACATGTTAGATGTTCTCCTCACTAACTGGGCACTTTATGTAACCTGAGAAGTAAGACCCTGGTAGTCCGAGATTCTAGGTTCAGTCCAAGTTCTGCTGTTTATGCTGTTTTTGACCTCTGGACCCAAGTTTCTTCTATATAATTATGTTGGCTAGATTAGTAAGAAAGTCTCAACTCACTGTGCATGAGTTATTGCAGAAACATTTAAAATGCTGATTTCCACACCATCCAGAAGATTCAGTTTCTGAACATTTGGGTAAAATTGGACTCAAATGACTGTTGAGGGATCAAAATTTTATTGTGTATCTGCAATGGTTTGGATGTGGTTGATCCCCATTAAAATTCAGATCCAGTTTGTTGAGATCCAGTTGCCAATGCAATAGTGTTAAGAGGTGATTAAATGGTAGGGGCTCCCCTTTGGGAAGGATCAATGTCATTTCCAAAACAATGGCTTAGCATGAGAGAGTTTGGCTTCCTTGGCTCTTGTTCTTGTTTTCTCCCTTATATGTGCTCTTCCACACATGCCTGCTTCCCTTCCACTTTTCTACCCAAGATGACACAGCGTGAGGCCTTCGCTAGATAGCTGAGCATGCCAGCACCGTGCTCTGAGACCTCTGGAATTGGGATCTATATAGATGCTTCCTTTATAAATCAACTAGTCCTAGGTATTATGTTGTAGCAACAGGTAACAGACTGGAAACAGATCATCACAAATTCATGATTCAACTCCTCCTGTCTGAATGCATTTCTGATTTTGATTGAGAGAGGTGGTCACCTAGAGCAAAGGAGTGAAAGGAGCTCATATTCTCCACAGTATTTATGCTGGACTTTGCCCCGACCAGGGTAAAAAGGCTCCCTATTCTTTCCAGCTCCAAATCCCGAGTATTTCATTGCTCTGCACGCCTCTTTTCCAAA